AGATTTCATTTTGTTATCTCCGACATCAGGTGGAACAGATGTGCACACTGGACAGCTTGATTAAACTATTCGCTTGCTGCACAAATATTTTTCTTTAGAAGGCTCAGATTGCTCTCTTCTCAGCACCACACAGAAAATGTCTTTTATTGAGTGAAAGTAGCAAACCATTTCCTTGAGATTGGCAATTTGTTGCCTAAGACGCAGACAAACAGATGAAACAGAGCATGGGACTGAGAAGATAAATATGGGATTGTGGATAATCCCATACATGTGATGATGGATTTAAGAACTTGTCTTGCATTTTCACTTTTTTCACACTCCTATTTTTAAGAATAGCAGGTGCTGAAACTCACCCACAGGAGAGATTTGCTGAAATATATTATTGACTGGCAAGCCCTCTTTCCGGAGAGACCAGCACTCCACGATGCTGCTGTTTTGGTTGGAAGCACAAAGCAGTACCTTCAAAACAGAAACCTATACTGTAACTGTCTGCACAAAATTTAAAACAGGAAAAGGCAGTGTCCAGCAGTGTTTTTCTCCCTCTGTTTTGAGGCTCCTCCTCCTAATTAGTTTATACTCCACTAGTGAAAAGCAGAGGATTTTGTCGGCAATACATAATGGTGAAGCCCCTAATTCCAGTGAGACAGAAAGCAGAGGCAGAACTCTGAAGTGTGGTATCACAGCCTGTACCCTTCCAAATCACAAATGGTCTCATCCCTCACAAGTCTGTATGCAACCTGCTGATGCGATTCATGCACATCACAAGCTAAACGAAAAGAAAAGGGCAGGAACTGAACTGACTTTGGAACCAGAAGGAAGTAGATACAGAGATCTTTTGCTTAAGCAGAGAACATCTACACAGGCACTACGTTCTCCAACATGGCACTCAAACTTAACCAAAGGAAAGGGTGAAGAGAGTTTAGGCTTCAGCGCATCACTCAATATAGTTGTGGAAAACTATCAACCCACTAGCAAATAGATTTAAGTTACTCAATGTAAGTCACACAAACCAAGAGCTCTAAGTGCTCTGGAGAGGTCTGCTTCGAATCTGTGACCTGAAGATGAAAGACTTCATCTCCCAGAACCTCCTGAACTGTCAGGCATAACTTCCCTGACAACCAACACCAGATTTGTAAAACAAACAAAGCAAAGCATAATCAGGATAATGAAGAATGGGCCTTTTCAGACTGCTTTTCCACAAACTGCAGGGCTCGGCAGTTATACCCCCAAACCTTTTTAGTGCAATCTGCTTGACGGCGAGGCTGAACTAGCAGCATCTCCAGAAAGAGCAACTAGGAACACAAAGGGCATCGCAGGACATGATCTGTTTATCTCCAGAGCTGGGTGTGGAAACCAAAGGTGGAGCAAATACCTATTTCCCTTGCCCTTTTTTTTTTTTTTTTTTTTTTTCAAATCCTACTTGTTTAACAGCAGATGCTCACCTGCTCTGACATGTCCCGAGCAAGGAATTTCAGGTGAGTGATTGCTGGATATTTGTCTTTGCGGGCAGGGTCTGTGGTGCAACGCATGAAAAGGGACGGCAGGATTTCAGTGTCTATTTTGCACTTCTCATTCACCACGCTGACGCAGACTTTGTAGAACTGGACAGGGGAGGTGCTGCTGCCATCTGACGTGGCCACCACAATGTTCCCACCGCCAGTGAAGGCAACATCTGCCAAGGCAACACGACAACGGAGACGGCACAGGCTCTCTGTGGATGTCAGCACCTGCCCATTGGGCTTGAGGAGAGATACTGTCACCAGACCACTGATGGTCACGGCAATCCAGCCTTCCATGGGCTTCCCGCCAAACAGAGTCAGGGACGGAGAGAACTTGACCCTGGAAAACTTCTCACCAAAGTTTGATGCTCCAGACTGTAAGAGAAGATAAATAACACAAGGACGTTTGTATCTGATATCTGCAACGCACCTACAACTGCATGGCTCTCCTCTAAGTCACTGCAGCATGGTCTGGGGAGCTGAACAGAGGCTGAAATCAGGGCATCGAGTTCATATGTCCAACTCTGTGCTGTGACCTTGCAGAAGCCCCTTTCTCCCTGGGTCAGGGCAGTTCTGGTTTTACAGGCAGCAGCAGGAACTTATCAACCCCTCAGCAAAGCTCTCAGAGCATCTCAGAGAGCTCCTACCTCATATACGCAGACTGAACCTGGAAGAGCCAATGCCCCCTCTCCCTTCTGTGGCCATTTCCAGCTCTGACACTAACCTATTGCACAGCCCCTTAAGTTTCTGTGCCTCAGGTCCCCGAGGTCTAAAGAGAGGGAAACATTTCTCTTATTGGAACACTGCAGAAGTAAACATTTTAAAAACGTAAGCAGGTAGCTTCTACTTGGCAGATTTTCTGTTTTGTGAGCCTGACAGAATTAGACATGTTGCTAAACAAGCAGCTTATCTATGTACGCATACAGCTGTCATTACCAAATCCCTGGATCAAAGCTCATGACCTGGAATGCATTTCTTCCACAATATCGCTGGTAGGCAAAGAAATGCTTTTTATCTCCCTTTTACAGCCAAGGACACTGAAGCAGACAGACTAAGAAAGACATGTTTAAAGCACCAAGAGAAACAAGGTATTTAATTCCTGCT